TGAGCACTCAGTGACACACAGAGATGTTCCCACCAGGAGGCTGGACTCACTCGAAGCCACTGTGAAGGCTTCCACCAAATGGACCCACATGAGGCACTTGTCCGAGGCTAAGTTTAACAAGAGACCACGGTGAGGTTTTAGGCCAGACAGTGACCATATCTGAATTTCCTGTCATTTGAAACCCTTAAAGGTGCAGACTTGAAAATGAGGCCAAATGAGCAGTGACTTCCATAACATGACACACTGGACCCCGGCCCTGTTTTGTCTAGTGTTCCATGCTGTGTCCCTCTCATTCTTATCACTCTTCCACCTCTACGTTTGTTCATCAGATTCATGGGACACGTTCCCACCATATTAGGGGCCTTAACTCATCCACATTTGATGGCTTCCTATGGAAATGGTGTCTAGCATCATCCTCACTGGGCAGCTTGGGAAACCGGGGAAGCCCTGAGAGGCGCAGAGGCTTCCCCAGGACACAAACTAGTAAGAAAGAGGAGGTGTGAACTCAGCTTTCTCTCCCAAGCAGGGGGCCTGGTACCTTCCCAGGGAGCTAGGGGGAGGGCTGTGCTTGATATTGGTGTACAGGTATGGAGATGACATGGGTGAAGAGGGTGAGAGGTCACCAGCCCAGAGGGGGCTTAGGGCAACTCTGATTGGAGGAAAGGCCCAAGCCATGGAACCTTGAAAGGGTGACTTCACTTCCTTTGTGACAGATCCTCAACAGAAATTGGAACCGTGGTAACCAGGTACCCACATTCTAGAGACAACTGCCTCTCCAGGTCACTTGAGTGGAGAGGCTCAGGAGACTAGGATGTCTCTCTGCTGCTTCCTGTTCTTCCGACGCTCTGGGCAGAAGAAAGCCCAGAGTGAGAGATGTTTTTGTTGTTGTAGAAATTGGTGCAAGTGCTGCCACCGACATCCTTCGGCCCCTGGCAGGAGGACGCATCGGGTTACGGTGGACATCCCAGGGAAGACCTTCCCAAGACAGACCTTAACGTGGCCCTCAGCTAGGGAGGCCCACACTTCTTACTCCTCATCCCAGTTTTGTGTTTGTTGGGGGTGGTGAGGGACAGCATGGGATGAAGGACACACGTCCTGGGCAGGAGCAGGTTGGTAGGTGTCAGAAGCCTGGAGGGTCTGTCATGATCATTGCCCAGGTCATGGCTCACAGCTGAGTGTTGGGGATGGACTTTACTACCCACTTGTTAACTGGGGGTCCTCATGGGATCATCTTATTCCCTCCCTGCCTGGAGGTCTTTGCAGATGGCTCTCTTTGCCTGATCTGGGGAACAGAATGGGTGGTGGGCATCTTCCCCACCAGTAATGCCCAGGCCCTTGACGCCTCCTGGCTGGGGACCGGGCTCTGTCTTTGCAGAGCTCCAACCAGGATGTCGTAGAACAGCAGGTTGACAGGTTCTCTGATGTCAGCAACGGGTACAGAGGACAAGTGGACCAGGCCAGGAAATCCGTCCAGTGCCAGTCTGAAGTGAGAGGTGGCCCACACTCATGACCCTGAGGTGACTGGGGTGGGAACAGAACTCAGACTCAAATCTGCAGCTTCAAAGTTTTCACAGACCCACTCCCAAAAAAATCTGATGCTCTAATACTCCAGACCTGGTCCCTGATAGGTGGAAAAACAGTCTTCATGTGTTCATTGGAGTCATAGAGAAAACATTTTTTTCTGTCTTTGCGTTTTTCTCATTTCAAATGTTTAATCCCCTGCCCCAAGTATCCTGTGGACCAATCCCTGCTCAGCTGTCCTTGTAGACTTTCTCTAATCCTTACACATCATCCCACTTAAGAGTGCTGTGTATTTTTTTAAAAAAAATGGGCATGGATTAAAGTATTGGATATATTTCTCAACAACCTGACATCCCACAGAACACAGCCAACCATTGCAGTGCAGCCCGTCAGTTGCTGTGGCCTTACCCATCTCCATATCATCCCAACAAGGACATAGTTTTCCTCAGTGATTCAGGCTTTCACTGTTATGCCTTGACATGAATTAGTTCTTGCTAGTTCAGCAGGGCTGCCAGAACATCCTCACCGGGTCCTAACAGACTGTCTCAGTTTGCCAGGGCTGCCATGGGGTAGAGCCGCAGATTGGGGTGGAAGGTTTCTGAAGCCTCCTGGCCCGGTACTGGGCTCTGTCTTTGTAGAGCCCCAACCAGGACATCCCTGAAGGGCTGGTCAACGGGTTCAACTACTCGACCTTCCTCGGCCTGGGGAAGGTGCATCAGGCCCCAGACACCATCCAGGGCCGGACTCAGGTGAGAACTGGCCTTGAGGGTCTCTATACCCACATACCTGAGACAACCTGGCAGTGCCCAGAACCCAGACTCAAATCTGGGGACCCTAAGAGGCCCTCCCATGGCCCCTAGGGTGTGCTTCAGCCCCATGACAGAGGAATCCGGGCCTCCCCTCCTCCCTCCAGTTACATGGGAGAGTAGAAAGACAATCCTCACATATTTGTGGAAATATTAGGGTGAAATAATATTGTTTCACTTCACAGTAGACCAGAAGCACGTTTGCCTGTTTTTGTTGTTCAAACTACCCTTGCCAGTATCCTTTGGAGCACTCATCTCCACTGTCCTTGCAGACCTGGTCCAATAACTGGGATCCTTCGCCCAGCGATGCAGCCTTTCAGTGCTGTTGGACATGGGCCTAATGCAGTTTAGCTGCCATGTCAGCAGTGCTGCCCGGAACACTGATGTGTGTCGGAATGGACTGTGTTAGGTTGCTTGCTTGGGCTGCCACAATATAGGACCACACTGGGTGGTGT